ATCCCTGGAAACATTCAAGGTCAGGTTGGATGGGGCTCCGATCAACCTGATCTAGTGAAAGCTGTCCCTGCTTATTGCAGGGGGGTTGGGCTAGATGACCTCTAAAGGTCCCTTCCAACCCAAAGCATTCTATGATTCTATGATTTCACCCTCATGATCACATTACTGATTTAGTGAACAGTATAAAGCTCAGAAAAGGAAAGGCCAAAAATCCCCCTGAATACTGAGCTGGTGTTAAAAAGCCCTAAGGAAAAGACAAAAATTCCTCAAAACGGAAACAGACAAGCAAAAAGACACTGTCAATATTTATGTTGCATATGTACAGAGACCACACTCCTCTGCTGTCACTAAGTTAACTATTTGCCATGTACTTTATTCAAGGGACAATGACACAGTCTTCCTGGCACAAATCAAGGGTTTGTTATGTAGCAGAAATGGTACTTCTAACATTTTAATGTACAAATTGCATTCCTCTGGGAATTTCCACAAGAAAAACCCTAGAGAAAGAACACAGTAATTGTCAGAAACAGCATTTGTCCCTTGGCACAGCTAAAATAGGTCATTCAGTGTTATTTCTCATTACAGTTTTATGTAAGACATTTACAGGACTTTAATAGATATGTCACTTTAAACATCATAAAACTTACCAGTCACGAGATGTCACAAGATGACACAAGTGAGGGAACTGCAAGTTTTTGTACAATGGTATTTTATAAAAATTTATAAGAAGTTTAAGGCTTACTTCTATAATGTAATTCATGTTTCTATGTCCATCATACAGAAAACAGAAAACTTACTGGCATCACTTTTCCTTCCTCATCACAGACACACATTATCACTTCCACATTTCTCTGAGTTGTTTTATTGTATTTATCAAAATCTCCATACAGCAATGTAATATAAATGTCATTTCTTATATCTCCTAAAAAAGAAATGGAAAGGTTAAAAATCGATGAAAATGCTGTGAGAGCATAGGGTAAACTGAACTTCACAAGAGTACTTCGTTTTCTGCAGTGAAACAGATAAAAATGTCTTATTTTCATTCTGAACTTAAATTTTCATCTGTTACTCTTAGCTAAGACACTACGATGTGATGTGAAACGAACCAAATGGGAGGCCTCAAAGTGACTTGAAGCAATTCTCATCCTGCGCTGCCACCTGCTGGTGAGGTGACGGATGATGCCATTACTGAGTTTTCCCCAAATACACAGATCCGTTTCTAGAGGGAGCTTCATATTTTAATTTTCTCCTGTGAACAAATTAAGGACCTATTTTAAAAGAAGTATCTAGATTTGAATTGAAGGGTTTGGGAGGGGTGTGTTGTTTGTTTTTAAAAAAGGAGCACTGCAGACAGTGAGTGACTTTAATTCAAAAATATCTTACCATAAATTAAAAAAAAAAAATAAAATAAAACCCAAGAGATTGTAAACTCATATGTTTATTATTATTAAAGAACAGTGATAAGTTACAATAAAAATAAGGTTAATTTAAAATTCAAGTAAGCATCCACCATAATCTACTTAGAAGATAAGAAAGCTATGTACAAGGAGCTGCAATTATCCTTCACTGTCTTGATTTTACTTTTTCTGCTTAAGTACTAGAAAATAGTTTCCAAGGATTTCACTATTTTTTGTAAGCCTCCAATATTGGAACAAAACTTACCATGAAGAGTGAATTCTAAAGAGCCTCTGAGTTACACATTACAGAAGTAAGTAAATAAGGCTGTAGCTGATGCTCATTAACCTAGGGAATGAAGAAAAAAATTCCATTCCTATTACAGAACAGAGCACCTCCTACCTGGCATGATTATTTCAGGAAATCCTAGCTTTCTAGCAACAACTGTGGTTCTGTCCACAAGATGTGGGTAGTCCTTCCTAGTTTGAATCACATCTCCAACAAGCATCTTCACAGTTACCCAGAGACCTATGAAGAGAGGGGGACGGGGGAAAAAAAAAAAGAAAAGATTACCTTTATGGTAAAGGGGACGGGGGGAATCTCTTTTCAGATGATTGCCTCTTCTACCCACCAAAACAGCAATAAGAATTTGCTTCCCCCACTTCCTTTAGCTGAAAGTAAAAGCTATATAATCCAAAACTGTAGGTACTGATTTCAATAGCCTCCAAGATTCTGCAGCAAAGTCATGATTCTTCACTTCCAGCTTCAAAGTTGACCCACCTCAATGGTGGTACTACAGCTCTAACAAAAGCCTTTCTCTAAAACGTTAACAATATAAAATGAAGTTCCACAAAAATGCCTTGTTACTTTACTTAAAAAAAAAAAAAAATCTACGTTACCTTGTCCACCACTGTCTCCTTTTGATGCAGTGACTTTGCTTAGGAGACTGTGTAAAAAGTCATTCTCTGCCACTACCCTGCAGGATAAAAAACAATGTTTACTAGGAATTAAGTGCTAAATATATCAAACACCATTTAGAACATAGATGACAGACAGCCTCAGTTGTCTTTGCAGTACTTATTATGACACATTCTGTAATTTCTTTATCTCTCACTCTGAGTTGCAGACCACTCAACATTAAGCTTATGTGTACACTGAAGTGAAAAATATTAACTCAACAACTTTAGGAACAACATTTTGTGACAGACTGTCAATATGAAAGCTTATCGTTTTGTAGGAATGCACAATGTGAATGCATTCACCAACGTGCCAGTCCAGTCCACTTTCCTTGATAAACAGTGTGACAAATGAACTTTGAATTTTTTTCAGCTACTTTTGAAATTGAGAAAAAAATTCTCACATAACAAATATGTTGGATCAAATTGTAAACAAATGAAATAGTAAACCAATATCATACTTAAGTCTTTCAGAATGAAATTTACTCTCCATAGGACATAGCAGCAGTGCTATGTAGAATGCACAAACATGTTTCCAGTGAATACTGGCATCTATGCATTTGATCTGCAAGTATCACATTTTTAGGCAGCTGGTCTGCCATTTCTTTTGAAGACAGTTAATGTATGACAATTCAACCACTTTTTAACTGAAACCCAATTTTTACTCAGATCTTTCTCAAATTCAAAATTGAATCAAGCATATAAATTCGTAGTTATCCATACTTGTAAAACTTAATATTGAGTATGTATAACTATTTAACATGGGTTTTGTAAATAGGACATGGTACCAGCTGTCTGAAGGAGCACATTCATAGAAATATACATTCATTTAACATGCTATGTAGCCCCTGTCAAGTCTTAAATGCCTTTTAAAGTGATACTTAAATAATTAGCACTATTACAAACAAAATCATTGAAAGGAAAAATTATTTTTTCTTGAAACATTTCACAGATTGTTACAGCCAAAGAGATATAGAAATATTTTTGTGTGTATAAAAAAAAAAAAAGATTTCTATGACTATCTTACGGGTGAAAGGGAATGAAATGCTGCTTTTCTTCATCACTTTCAGCTTTTCCTTTTATGATATCTGTAATATCCATAACTAGAAGAGTAAAAGAAAAACCATCAGAGCATATAATAGCATTGAAAAATATCTCCTTATCTATGAATAATGCACATTAATGTTCTTCTGCCTCAAGGTATACACAGATTTTTTCACTAGCAAGCAGCATAGCCCAATAGGGGTAGATTTGTGGGGCAGAACATTTAGTGCGAAGTCCACACTACAAACATGATGTTGTGTAAGGGAAAATTACTTCACACTGGTTTTGGTCTAATCCTGTGAATACAGGTATGAGTGCATTGGTGGTGCTCTTGGGACATAACTGTTGGTTTTATTTCATCTGCAAAGAATTCTATCATTATGCTCTGGTACTATGCTTTGGTTTGGCACTGTGTAGCAGTAAGTATGAATTATTAGGAAATGAAATTCTAAAGCACACTTCTGGACTGAACTTCTGAACTGAAATGCTAATGTAGGTGTAGTCTTTATGGACTTAAAAAATTAAATATGGAAGATAGTTGATACAGCTATTTTGTATTCTGACATGTCTTGGTAGAGATTCTGTGGTTCAGGACTGGCAAGTATCACTTGGGTCCTGCGTCAGATATACCACAGGAGACATCAGTTACCTGCCACTCCAAAAGGCCGCCTTAGTCCTTGTGTGTATTTCTTTGAGTTACTGTCTCTGAGATCCATCCTTCCGACTCGGACTATTTGACAGACTAAATAAATTTTGTCTCTGCTAAGGTCTTTATTTCCAAGATCCTAAGATACAACCAAAAAAGAATTGAAATATTACTGGGGAATGAACCAAGTTGTGAAATTTGAACAGGACCTCCAGTAATGAATTGAGCCTCAGTAATCAATGGGGGAAAAAACCAAAACAAAACTAAAACACAAAACCAAACTGAGCCCACAGAAAGGATTAAAAACCTGACAGTTTAAAGTTTGAAGAAAATATAAGGTAACCTAAATAGAGAAAATAGCAGCAATCAAGAGGTACAGCAGATAAAAAAGTCATCAGTAAATTTATGAGGCAGCAAATTGATTTGAAGAAAGGACATGGAAGCATTGTCACTGCCTTAAAGCACTCAATGACTGGTCATCCTGCTCTTTTTCTAAGATTACTTCTGCTTCCTTCTTCATCTTGCTCAATCTTCAGGAATTCTGATAGTGACCACAGAGAACAGACAACCTGATTTGCAAATACAAAGTCAGGAAAACTGGAAAACACTTACTGTGAACACTACTTTAAGGTTGTTGAGCATGTCAATTTCCTTTGGAAAGCCTCTACTTCCCCATCTCACCAAGTAGTTCTCACTGTTTTGAAGACAAATATCTTACTGTCATGTGATTTAAAAATTCTTCCCTTTCACAGTACATTAAAATCCACAGTACATAACAAAGGTTGCATAACAGATGGTAGTCTGTTGTCATTGTTAAAATCTAATACCAGACTAAGACGACAAGAATGCTATACAAAATGCCATCAGTAAGTTTTGAAAAATAACTTGAACATAAGACAGAATGGCACCTTTTTTGGAGGAAACACTAACATCATCATAGCCTGTTTGACAGGAATACTCAACAGAATCTTAACCTGTCTTTGAATTTATCAATTATTCCCATTTTGTCCCCTTCCCTCCATTTCAGCACTTTACTCCAGACACCACAACATTACCCATCAAGAATAATCTCTTCACTTTGAAGTGTTCTCAGGCTTCTCCAAAATTCTAAAATGTTAATTCCAGGAATTGCTTATGAAAATATTTGGGATCCTTTACCCTAGAATTCTTTAGTAGCTGCCAACGACTAGATCTGTCCTCACATTCCTTTTGGTTTTCTTTTATTTATGTATTCTCTGCATTACTAGCATGTTGGCAACTATTTTACTTAATTTTGGCTAGCTCCTTTTGCTACTCTTTTGCAATAAAAAAAAGAAAGCTTACCTTATAATTGTTAATTTCTGTGGATCGTATAGTGACATAAAGAGTTCTGCATCCTCTCCAATTCGGCAAACAAAATTCCGCACAAAGACATATAGGCTGTGGGTGGGGGATGAAGACATTCGGGAGTACGATGCATAATCTGGTTGATCCTTTGACTACCCAGAAGGAGGAAAATCATTAAGTAGATCCACAAATTAAAATGGTGGAATACTACAAGCAGTTTCAATTTTTATCATATGTGACTTAATCTTGAAAAATCATAGAAAATGTGGCTAGAAATACTTGTTTCCAGCAAATAAACATTGCCCTATACATTCCTCTGAAAGACATTGCTTAATAACACAGATGTGACTAGCAAATAAGTTTCTGACCCTCTGCAATGCTTCACCAGTGTATCAACATCCTTTTCTACTATGAAGCTAGACAGTTCACAGGTTAGAAGATGCAGAAGTGACATCAGTATGCAAGATCCCACCTTCCTTTCCAGAGCATTCACTGTATGCAAGGAGATAAAAAGCTCAGACTACATTCTTCAAAACATGGCACGCAGGCTAGGGAGCTACCTCCGTGTGCAAATAATGAAAAAGCTGATGACAGAGATGCTTAAAATCAATCTTTTGCAGTACTTAGGGGTACACTCAGTATGGGTAAGAACTTCCTTTGTATGGGATTCTAAGCATATTATCCTTCCCAGGTAGGTGTCTCCTTTTAGAAACGGAACAGGGATTACTTTATTTTATGAATATTTCCAAGGAACACAATAGTTAAGCTGTTTCTCTTCCCTTCTCCCTTCACCTCCAGAGACCTTCCTTTCTTGAAAATCTTACATTTACTTTCATTCAGGAGAAAAGAGCCAGGTTAAGTTTCCCTCCTGTACATGGATGTATTCAAAACCTTACCTCCCAAGAAAATCGGTCTGCTTTCAATGGAATTATTCTGAAGTCCTTTACTAAAATTTTGGTAAAAGACTGTGCCTAAAATATTTGACAATGTTTTTGCTATGCTGTAAGAACTAAACCCCTTTAGAAGAAGAGAGCAGGGAGTTGGACTCGATGATCCTTATGAGTCCCTTCCAACTTGAGATATTCTATGATTCTATGACTTCCATATCTTAGGCCAGTTCTTCAGCCACTGGGCAATTATAGAAAGGGTGAAACATTACCACCACTTTTTAAAGAGAAGAGGAAGTATCAAGCTGTCACTACAGAGGCAAGCCTACAAGACTGAAAGAGATGATTTTTGAACACAGTAGGATATAGCAGAGGGCCTACTATCTGCATCGTAATGGGGTTTCAGTATGCTAGGAACACTAGCAAAACAAAATACACCTCTTTGAAGAGGAGACAAATAACATGCTGAGATCAGGACACAGCTCAGCAGGTTCACAGACTTAAAAATAGGCTCCTAATTTCTACCTACATCCCATTTTAACCACCTAGAAACAGCTACTTAACATTTGATGGCCTAAAGCTCTTTTTATCCGTTGTTTGGCTCTATTTTTAAAACAAATCAACACAGTCTGTTGCAGACTACCAACTTTAATTTTCCTTGTATTATCAGTTAATTACATTTTCATGTCTGGGAAGCAAGATTTATTTAGTGACACTGATGTGAGCAACTCATAAGGTTTTTTCCAGTGATTTGTCATGGGCATCATTGAAGTGTCATGACAGCCCAACTCTTTTTTTGTCAAGTGTTTTACTTGCTTTATTTGCATTTATTTTCTCATGAATGTGAAGAAAAGAACCAAAGTATATTACAAGTCCCTGAACAGATTTAATATAGAAAAGGGTCAAGGAAGTGTAAGTCACCTGCTTTGCATTTTAGAAGATGAAATTTATGCACTGATCAGCTTTGCTTAGGCATGCTAACTTCTAGTGTCCACAAGATTATGCTGAGTTCACCCGAGTTCCTCTTTAGTGAGCTTAAATTCTTCAACTCCATCAGACTAACTAACAAGCAGCAACACATAGCAAACCACTAGTGTTGTCACAAGATCTTCTAAAAAAGAGCTTTAGTTGGTCATAGGTTGCAGCCTGAACTCCAAGTATGTAACTATTCAGTACACGAATCAGCCTATTGAGTAGCCCGCAGATGGAATGAGGACATGTATTTCTATTTAGGAATCCAAGAATGGATTTAGAACCAGCTTTAGACACAGGCTTTCAGCCTGGCCTGCAGCCTGACTCCAGCATGCAATGCAACTAACTCAATTTGAGGCTTAGCCATATTTATAATACATGAATGTGAATCTACTTAGTTCAGTCAGAGGCATCAGTCATCTACCAACTTTTATGGCAGAACGTTACATCGTTCAACCCTTGTATTGGTTTTTCATTTTGATTTTAGCAAAAGAAGCATTAAGTTTGGCCAGTCATTCCTACCATTTCCTCCTTAATTCGCTCAGTGATTTTATTAGTCGCTTCTTCATGTGCATGAAATAGGCTGATGACACTGGTTTTATCTGGATCCAAGATATTTCCATCTTCATCTCTAACTATTAGATCTAGCTCAAGTATCCTGTGAAAATACCAAGAGCATTATGGCAGGGTTATTTCCTTTTATAAAAATAGAGCTTAGAGATGTAATGCACAAGGAGCTGCTTCAAGTTTTAAAGCAATAAAGTGAGTTTAAATACATGCAACAGTATTTGACTGAAGAAAAATGTAGCTGAACCCCACGATTTTCTTTTCAAGCTGTTGTACACTATTATCCATTTTAGGAATTTATAGTAATGGCACCACAGCATTTGAATGCCTATCACATAAAATAGATTCAGCATGTTCAATGACTTCAAGCAGTCTTCATCTCTTTTGCTTTTTAATATATAACCTTTGCAATCAAGATGCGTAGGTTTTTCCTGTTACCTTGTTCTTTTACTCTCCCAGTCCCGTTACTTAACTAACTACTATGCTCTCTTCTCCTTTGCTCTCATACTGTCCTGGTTTCAGCTGGGATAGAGTTAAATTTTCTTCCTAGTAGCTGGCATAGTGCTGTGTTTTGGATTTAGTATGAGAATAATTTTGATAACACACTGATGTTTTAGTTGTTGCTAAGTACTGCTTATGGCACTGTTAATGTTGTTTGAAGCAGTCTGTATCAGACTGCAAGCCGTCTTCATCATCTTACTTGATTATCCACAACGTCTCCTGATTTGGTGTTCAATCTCCTCTCCCACAATGACCCACTCGGCCTCCATTGTCATTCCCCTTTATTCCTTCTCCACAGTTTGGCAAGTTTCCTTCATACATCACAACTCAACCCCACACTTTCAGGCACTTACAAATACTATCCAACTTGCACTTTCCCTCTACACCATCCCAAACAATTTTAAACATCCCCTCCACCCCTGCTCCACTAAAGGAAGAAGCTTACTGTCTCATAATTTGGAAAGAAGAGAAGAATGTGAAAACAAAGGTCTGAAAGCAAAGAAATGTTAGTGTTGTCTTAATCAGAGCTAGGCTTCTTAGATTTTACTTTGAAATGCTCCAATCAGTCTTGGAGTGACCATTCAGCTCCACATAGTGTAGCAGGATACATGTATTCCCATAGTGTGTTCTGTAAGAATATCAGTAAAACATTAAGTTGCTTTTGGTCCCTGTATAGTCCTGACCATGCCAGAACATGGCAGAAGATTTATTGCAGATGTACTGATCAAAGGAACTGAGTGTAGCATAATGGAATACTGTGGGAACTTGGGCAAATGATGGATGAATGAAGGACAATAGAAAAGGTTTAGATGACCACAACTTGAACTTTGGCAACAAGCCTATGGGGTATGCAAGCTGAAGTGACCACCGAAGACCACCAGAGACCCCTATGGAGCATGCATGGTTAGACTAAATGTTTCACAACTATGTGATTATGTAATGTATGTAAATTAAAATGCATATATCTATGAGAGGGGAAGGGCATGCGGAATCTATTGTATAAATATGATGAAGAGCAGACATCTGTGTGCTAGCTTTGTGGAATTACCACCTAGCACCCATCTCTGCACAGAAATGGAATAAAGCAATATCTCACCTGTATATGTGGAAATGGGCTTATTGCACACAGGGCAACGAATCTGCTTTTCGGACAACAAGAATATAATTTATCAGGAATCTGTGCATCCAAATCACAGCGAGCAAGTTAAGACTTTCATAACATCTTGTGGTCATTGTTTATGTCTAGCCACAAGTAGTGGAAGACTTTCAGCTGCATATAGGCCTTCAGGCCGCAATAACCACAGTCACTTGCAATAGCTAAATACAGTTTATAAGCAGATTCCAATGCCTATAAAACCAGTACTATGAAGATTTGTTTACCAAGCTCTCTCTCCCCCTTTATCAGATGGTGGAACACCACTCAACCCCACATAACCTCTTTTTTTCCAAAAATGTGTTGTGTTGCAGGGACTTTTCATTAGCAAGGAGCAGACAAGGCATTTTGTCTATTCTGTCCCTGGTAGTTTCACTTCTATTATCAGAACAAGAGCTCTGCCTGGAAATTCCCTAGTAAATGGGGGCAGGGTTTGGAGGGGTATGGTGGTGGTGTGGTGCCTTTAGCAAAGGCTCTGTACACTTCAAACTTTTCAGACTTTTGCTATTCATCCACCACACTAAGGTATCTCAGCACCACTTTTGAAGTGGTAGCATAACACTACTAGAGGTAGGCTGTATTTGTGAAGTGTCCCAAGTACACTGATGTTATATGTATATAAAGGCCAGTTACCTGACCTCAAATCTTTACAACTGACAAGATCATATATCTATAATTAACAAATAAATTAGTATTTTGAAAAAGTGATTTGCTATGAGAAGCCTCAACACAGTATCTACTGTTATCATAGGAATAACAGGGAGAAGTTTGAAAAGGAAGATTCAACGTCTACATCTCACGTTAATGGGCTACAAAACTGCAAACAGGAAAACGTTATCATCATTTCTGTTCTAGCTGGGTGCTTTAAAATAAATCGTGTTTTCCAGAAACAACATAGGCTGCTTACTTGTTACCGTAGTCAATTTTGGAAGTGACTTTCTGTTTGAGTTCTTTGAGCTCATCTTTTGGCAAAGTCCCAGACAGAAGCTGCGATCGCCACTCCATTAAGTCATACATCATAGACTGCACCTGCCGGAACCGATCTTTCTTATTTGTCTAAGATAAAAAAGAAAACAATAAGTTTCAAGCTTCAAGTTGAAGTGAAACATTGGTCTTGACAATTAAAGGATGTGTCATATTTAATGCTAAATGATTGCAAGAGCAAGAATTAGGCAAAGTACTGAGTCTGGCTTCCCTCCTTCTCTCATCCCACAAATTTTTAAGGACAGGTCTCCCATGTGACCATAAAGAAATGACATGAAATTTAAGCAGTTTGTATAAGGATAGGGAATTACATTATTTTTGTTTTATTTAATTGTGCTTTTTTAAAACTTGTTAACTAAGTCTCATCAAGAGAAAACATTATAGAAGCAATTTACTTCTTTATGAGATAGTGATAAGAACACGCTGGGAACAACAACATTTGACTGTGGTATTAATACATTTAAGAGAAAAGTGAGAGAATGCATAGAAGTCACTAAAGCAGTTCTAGCGTCATTCACTGAAACAAGAAAAGTTTCAATTGTTGACTTTAACAAGAGGAAGACTACAATGTTACATGTTTCAGAAAATACATTAATAAGGAAAAACTACATCATATTCAAGATTTGTTTGCCCCAACAGAGAAAAACCAAAATCCAATGGCTGGGATCCTGGAGCAGTCATTACAAGTTGTTGAAACAGGTTATCCATTAGAAGAGAGTACTCAGGTACTAGAGAATTCACCATCTCCTGATGTTTTTCCAGTCAACACTTTAACCTAAGCCTAATGGCCAAAAATTCATAAACAAGTCACTAGAATCGGTAGGGATTAATGTAGGGTTACAACATGCAAAATATCTATGATTATGCAAACGTAAAAATTAGGCTTCTATCCTTCAAATCCAGATTTTATCTCTCAGAGTCTTGTAGTGCAAGGACAGGTATAATACTATAAAAATGGTTTGGTCTCTGTATAAAAGATAGTTGAGGCCTGCAAAAATATTTCAGGTCCAATTAAAATAAAAAGATAATTTTAAAAAATCAGTAATCACTTCTACAGTTCTATACTACACTGTGGGCATTACAAGCATATGCAAAAGACCACCATGACTACAGGTTGCTTACTTACAAGGAACACAGATGCTGATGCAGTGGCCATTTTGACTAATACCTCTGAATTCATTGCACTTTTATGTATTGGTAAAAGTGCTTACAGGAAAAAATTATTTTCACCAAGAGGAAAAAAAAATGTTTTTCTTTAAGAAATGTAAAATTAAGATATTGAAAACAAAAAGACTGACTTTTTGGAATTGCCAGTTGTTAATAGCTACACACTCCCGGTAATCCTTGAACAACTTTTGTTCTAGCATCCCAAGAACATGGTGGCTCTTTTTCAAATGCATCTTAGTTATGTTTGATACTGTCTTGAAACTTGTCAACTGTACAAAGAACAATCAAGAAAAATTTATCATGTACAGGATACCCAAGGTTGAAACTAAAGGCATGAAATTACTCCACTCCTCAGCAGTAAGTCAGCCTTTTAATTGAAAGCCATTGAAGAACATAGTACTCATCTAAGCAGCGATGAAGTACTAATTTCTTAAATCCTCCCAGATCCTGCCCTGCACCTAGGAAAAGATGCTAATTTCAACAAGGCCTCAATATGCACAAATAGGAATAATTAACAGGCCACACACGACATGCAAAAATGTCATACCACATAGAGCTGTTTCCAGATGCTCCCCCATTCCCAGAGAGTTGTGGTAACTTCTTGAACTAAAGGAATTTCAGCAGGTATTATATTTTCTGTATGTCTAGGAAAGAGGAGAAAATTTAACACAATGAAAATGAAAAAGAGTGTCTGAGTTTCATGGGTTTATATTATAGTTACTGTGTTTAAGGCATATAAATGCCTTAAAACTCATTCTTTAGCAGACAAAACAGTTAAATTCAATACCTTTTCTTTTCAACAGTAACTTCCTTGATGTGGATGAAAGATTTGGGAAATATTCCCTGTTGAAGGAGAAAAAAAAAAAAATTACAATCCACTCTTATTCTCCAAGATCATTTAAGTAACAAATGAGAGCTTTCCAAAATCCACTTCTAAATTTTCTTCATAAAACTATGAATATGAACATAAACCGTAGTCTCCAAATTAACTGCCGCCTATCTAGTTTTCTGTCCAGCTAGATGCATTTCTGTTTGACAGACAAATAATAGAAGTTTTGTCATATCCTTTTCTGCAAACATAGAATGCATAGAATTACATTTCTGCATAAGAAACACCAACTTCCACGCCCGTGCCCCCATCTACTCCCCCAGAAAACAGTACATACAGTGTAAATACAGTAAAGAAAAGTTTTCTCTGTGCATCAGCCCATAGATTTCTCGTTCTTGGGAAAAAAAAAATGCAGTCTAATTAAGAGATCAGCTTGATTATCAAACCAAAGGAGAGACACTGATATAGGATCATTGCATCTGGTGAAAGAAATATTGATGGACAGAAAAATCACTCGGGATGACTAGCAAAATGGCCACTGACATGAAGGATAGTAAACTCAAAGTTTACTTTGAAGCATAGGAGCCAAGAACACTGTGATGAGGCTAAAATTGCTTTAAGAAAAAAGAATGACCTTTCATTTGCAATGCACAAAGAAGGGAGACAGTAAAGCCATAACTCTCAGCCCTCCTAGGTATATGCGGCACCACTGGAATTGAGATTATGGTCTCATTTTGTACTACCTAGGGCCATACAGTAAGATGTCCTGCAAGATGTAGCAAAGGAGGCATCAGATTTCATGACATTCACAAAACTTATTTTTAATTGACCTGTGTACAAAAAAATGGTCACCAGCTAAAATGATCTAATGTGATGTGTCCTTGCTCTACAACAGCTGAAATGTTTTAAGTCATCCTAAAGAAATGTTTGACCACCAATCTATCCATGACAATCCTCACATTCACTAGCAAATCTAGTTTTGGTAATTAAGCTAAGTTCTTCTTGGATTCTTCTCTATTCAGTGATGGACATCCATATGTACTACTTTACAAAGTCTTTCTCTCAGATTTCAGCTTTGATCGCCATTTTCTTTTAGCACTGGATCTTAAACAAAAGACAATCATGTCTTGCCACTTCCACAGTTTTTCATTAAGATTGAAGTTCAAAAGAGTCCATGAAGAAGCAAAGTAAAAAAGAAGGTCCCGTTAATAGTAAATTTAGTGAAATCTCAGTATATGAAATTAATAATACTTCTTAAAACATATTATGCATGTTGACCTTGATGAAACCCTTTAGCAATATTAAGAATTAGCTAAAAGGAAGTGGTTAGTTCTGGTAAATATTTTCCCTGTTTAGTTTTAGACTAAATTTTCATAAATTAAAATTAAAGTTTTAATTAGAATAAACAGCAATAGCATTTTGAGCCAAAAGAAATGTCAAAGGAGTATTTAAAACACAGTTATAGTATTGGACAGGATGGGGGGATGGTTAGCTATTCACTCATAACCACCTGCAATTACCAGCTGATAGTAACTCCTTAGGTAGCTTCCACTGAAATACTATGCTGTATCAAGAACTTGTGAACTACCTTATCACTAGCCTGGCTTCCACTTCATCTGTGACAAGCTAGAAATGGAAGCATGCAAATAAGGTGTACTATGCAGTTGTATTGGAGCTCACAGAACATGAGCAACAACAGGTAGAAGTCTGGAGACAACGATTATGCATAATTATCACAAATAATTATTCATTCCTCTGTCTTTTAGGATGTGCAGTCATTGAGCAATGAAGTGAAATAGTAAATCAAGCATCTAATACTTCCAAAAGGAAACTAAAATATTTTACTATCGCATACAGTTTGAAAATAGACACAAATTAGTTGCTTTAAGTTATGTAAGTTATTGCTTACCTACAAGCCATGGAATACAAAATAAGAAAAAGGAGAAATAGACAGCTTAAGGCCGTTATGATTTTTTCTGATGGCATATTATGTGCTAACAACTGTCCCTCTGCTCCCCAGATATCCCTTTTTAAGTGGCTGTGAAGGTTTTATACATCTTTTTTCCAGGCTACAGAGAAGAAACTTCCACCAAACATTTTTACTGTAATATAGGCATGAGTCTCTAACCTCAAATGCCGTTGCATTGCTGCTCCCTAACAAAATGTGATACTAAGAGCAAGTTTCAAAAAATGCTTTTCTTCTAGAAAAATGCATTTGAAACTAAAAAGTAATTTTCTTGCTGCCGAACTCAGGAGTCGTCATACCCAGGGTAAAAACTATTCATTTGTGGCTTTCCATCTTTAGGTATAAGAATACTGACCTTTTTGTTATGAATATGATTTTTGTATATTAGAGATATATTTAAGAATTTAAGCCTGATGGGGTTTGTTTAGATTGAATGTAGCCTAAAGAATCCTTAGAAAAAAGTGCAGAAACAGACACATATAGCAGTAAATTAATTCAAAAATTTATTTCAAATGATGTCTTTATCAGTCTGTTAACCTGAAGGCACAGTAATTTTTTTCTTCATTGATCTGCTTCTCTCAGTCCTCACTTCTAGTATTTACCAACATTATTCAGGACAAATGTTGATCCTTTTATTCATCTTGAAAGGAAAGCAAATGGAGATAGCTGACTTCAGAGATCAGAATAGGACTATCTGATGAGAGATAGTAAAAAACCCACTTCATGGGTTAATTTCATAAAAATAGTCTCGTAGGAATGAATAGCGTGATCTTACCTCTGATCCTTTATGTCTTACTAGATAACCCTTGTACCAATCTAAAAGGAAGAAAGAGTACACTCAGTATGACAGAACATATGCATAAAAAAGGCATATAATAAAGTCATGGGTTTTGTTTCATATAAGAACTATCTAGCATAGGATGTTTAAAAATTAATAGTTACTTCAAAAATACGTAAATGAAAGTAAAGTGAGTGTCAGGAAGCATATTCAGCATAACTTGCACATTAGCAATTATGATTATATGGTCTACTTTCAAGTCTTGCATAGTAAGTACAGATAATCTCACACAGAATTTAACATCCCCACACTCACATAAAAAGGTAGGATAAGCTGTTTTGTAATGTAATATATAACACACACATACATATCTCTCTCAACCAAGATCACTCGTGGTACTGGATAGCCCATGAAAAAAAAATTCCGATTGTGTTCTAGGTGTAGTATTAATCCAATACAGTACATGGTTGTTATATATCCAACTTTCTTGAATGTCAGAAGAGTAAGCCACATTTCTGCCATGAGGAATTATAGCTTTTGGACCCAACTTGAATAAGCAGCTTCCTAGTGTATAGTTCGAGTTAGAACCTTCAAGAAAATGAAGGGCTATTACGTGGCTCCTGCTCCATTCATAATTAGAAACCCCTTCTGAAAGAAGAGAGTGCAGTATTGAAGTAGTGTCAATTAAAATACTAATTCAGACTTTGTTCCATCTATGTCCCAGTTAAGTGACAATAAACTTTTACGGAGAACATGAAATGAAGAGTTCAACCTTACTAAATTACAGCAGAAGCCACATCCACTGTGCACACGTTCCATCATGAAACATTTAATGTGCACAGAAACAGTATTCAACTGTTGAATACGTCTATTTCACTGCAAAGAAAGCATTTGATAAGTAAAAGTGTACTGACTCTGATTTCAGGAACCGATATTATCTCTTCCCTACCATATTTTCTCTCTGACCATTTCTAACACAGTACAGGTATTCCAGCCATGCAACCAAAGCATTAAAAAAAAAAAAAAAAAAAAAACCCCAAACCCCCAACCAAACAAAAAAACACACAAAAAAAACCCCCAAACAGTACTGTGAGAAAGGCAATGTTAAAAGTCATAGGAGAATCACTGACCTCAAAGATTCAGGACACATTTTTTTCAGTTTTTTTCTGGGGTCTTTTTTTCCAGTATCTTCTCAACAATAGAATTCCAACTTATTTCTAAAACTGAATTACTTGTACGTATTTTCCAATTTATAATCAAGTGTGTAAAATCTATTTCATCCCATTTGCTGTGACTGCACATGTATGTTCTGTGCATATATTTTGTGCATGCAAAACAAACTAAAATAGCGTGTAAAATGAGCGCAGGAAAGAAACCTGTTACTGTTGGTTACTCTTCAGCTGCAGCTGGCAGCATATTTTTAAGATACCTGATAAAAGATTAACTTCCTCACTTGCACAATACGCAAGATTCCACTTCTTCATGGACAAATATATTTTATAAAGCAAGCTATGACATAGCATGCTAAGGGCAGAGGATTCAGAAAAGACTTTTAGATAAGAAAATAACCCCATAAGATCACCACTCAACTTGCTAGGCTGGGCTGACAACAAATGTACCACAGGAGTCAGAAACCTGAAATGCTGTTTCTGCAATTAACAGAGACAATATAGGGATAATGAGGTTTCTGGTTTGCCACTGTATTTTTTTCTTAGCCAAAATGTTTAGAATGGAGACTTAAAGAATTACGCAGACCTTTCATTTTTTAGGAGAGGACGTGAGTCATTATTCCTGACTTTGAGAGGTGCATCTGTTGACTAATAGTCTAATGAGTGACATCGATATTTTCACTGATGCTTAGAGATATTGAATTTCTCTTACAAATACAAGCAGCAGCAAAAAAAAAATGCTTCTGTGCTCCAAAATATTGGAGGTATGGTTTCTCAGATGCTCTTCTCTCAAATACTTTTGTTGTTTCCATGTAAAACAACCTAGAGTTCTCTGAAATGGAATGGGTTGGGCTCAAACAGCTTCAGATTCTTTGCAGCTTTGTGACCGCAACATACAGTGTCTTTCAACACTGAGCTGTCTCTATAACTGCATAATGCAGCAGTTGGCCTTTCTCTTTAACATAACTACAGTTAATAAGATACAACTGACAGACAGTGGAAGCAGGTTGAAGAAGATAATTTTACAACACATTTTGCAAAGCTTGAAGTACTTTGTAATTTTTTTTTTTTCAAACTCTTACCTGGTTAAGAACATTACTGCAGATTGAAAATAAATTGCTAGTACAATGACACGTGCAGATACCTAACTTGAGTTAGTAATAATTACACCCTTGTTGCTTTATACTAATAAAGACTTAACTAGCTCTGGCAGACTTGGGAGAGAATTCAGTCAGATCGTGAAGGTACAAATCAAATCAATATGGAGGAATATGGATGAATACACTATCACTACAGTATTGACAATGAATTCAGCTTCACAAACGTACAAAGTTTTATGTTCAGTTATTCTTCCACTGCTTGTATTTATTTTACATTTATGCCAGTTGGTCAGATGTCTCTATATACCGGCTACATAAGTTTGGATCAGCATATTGACTATGTATCATGCGTGACTTGGACTTCTGCTGTTAGGCATGTTCAGTAAGTTGGATGGTTTTCAGAAATGTTTCTATCATGCTGACCTACAGGCAACTTTAATATACTAGATTTCCATCTTGTCCTGTGACTAGGGTGCTGAATATCTCCTAGCAACAACTATTTAGTTTAGATGCAAAAATGTACTCCATTAAAACTTCAATCAAATCTAATGTAACTTCTATCAGGTGTATTACAAGCTGACATGAACTTCACAAACTCTACATTCACCTTGATGGCTTCCTCGTATGGTAATGGCTTCGCAAAAAACCACGTGTACTGTAACATTTCTGATTTTGGCTCTCCAAAAACGAATAGGTTCTTCCTCAAAATAGACCACCACCACCAATACAAATAAGAACATTAGTCAACTACTTATGTAACATAGGGAACTGCTTTGGAGTAAAAGGATGAAGTTATTCACACAGAGAAACCTATAGCCTGAAGGCAACTGACTTACCTTCACAGGACTCCAAGATATGGACCACATCACCAATCTGTAGGGCTAGTTGTGGTATTCCTGTGCCTTTGAAGTTGTATATAGCTGAAAAATTAAAGGACAAAAATACTGTTTTTCAATACAGCCATACACTACAGTTAAACTGAAAAACACACATGGTTATTAAGTTTCTGATACTAGGATAAATACACTAGAATAAACACACAGAACCGTAATTCTATTGAGAAGCTTCATCTGTTACTATTACTTAATCTCTTTTCTTGTGGAAATGCAAAGGTGTTGAAAATGGCCAGTGCTGAAAACAAAACAAAACAAAAAACCCAGCATATGCATGAAAAGAAGCTATTCATAACAACTGCTCTGCACAGGATTTAAGAGCACCTATTTAGATGCAGGTCTATCAATACATACATGTTCATTGTGCTGAAGAGTTGTTAATCTACTGGTCTGAGTAAGAATTTAAAAGCATAGTTTACAGAAATTTATGGCGACACTGGTGAGAAGGGGCACGGAGAGGCATGTGAAAACTGAATTTACTGAATTTTTTCCTGGGTTTAGATGCTTCATCTTAACATGAAATTGTGCTTTATATGGAAACAGTAGAAAGTTTCATAATTTTCTGTATTTAATCACTCTGAAAAGAACACAGGAGCAGTGGATTTTGAAAGTGTTCTAATCAGGAGCTTATCTGTATGTGGTTCAGAAACAGCTAAAGTTTCAGAGACAATTCAAGAAAATAAGCTTCGTTACTAGTTCTTACGTTCTAGGGTTACAGGATGTGGGCTGCTATGGTAAGCATTTGTTTCTATGTATTTTTCCTTCATGGGCTTGGTTATAGATTTTTACAATAGCATTACAGAGTAGAAGTGGTTATTGAAGCTAGTATCGCACAGGGAAACTGATTAAAATATGTAGGCCTGAAACCACAATTAAACTGTACAAGAAGGAACAGTACACTAGCTACTAACCATGACCTCTGTTGTGCAGTAAAGGTATCAGTCACCAGGGTTTTCTTCCTTTTCTTATGACAGCGTCCCAATCCATCCACACATACAGAGCATCCAAACTTGCGGTATTTTGGACTAGGGGAAAACTGATGTACAAAGCTAAACCTACCTTCAGTATATTCCTGCATTCCTTCTGCTCCCCCCTCCAGGCTTCTAAAGCAGGATATTAATTTTGGCTAGGCCAAAATGTATACTAATGACACATTTTACTTAAAAATTTCACTTAAAATTGTTTTTAAAGTCTCAAATTAAATTGCCTTTCATGAAAATGCCTAAGGTAGGAGTATAGAGCTAAACAGATTTTTCCTCTTCACTTTTTCAGGTGTTCCATAAATTGTGTTTCTTGTTTCTTTTGCCATCATTATATTCATTATATTTCTGGAACAGAAATTAGAAGGAATTTCAGATTTAATTAAGAGGCTTATTGGACCAAAAATAAGTTCTTATTTTTGTTGACATGAAAAGGCCTTCCCACCAGTTCCTCCTCCTGGTTGGGTAGAGCACAGCTTGAATCATTAAACATAAAGGGGGAGAAAAAAGAAAAATATAACTTTGAAGTGAGGCTCTGCTGTGCAGATTCAGCCATTTATTCAAGAGACTCTTGAAGACACTTCCTCAGTGGTCCTCAGAGAAGTGCCTTAGCTCACCAAAAAATTGAATTTAAGTAGTGGATGTATAGTTATGTTCTGATTGGTTTCCTTTCATTAGTCTTGACACAGATTTCAAGAAATGGAAGATGGCAAACAACCCTCCTAAGTTATCATGATATTTAAAGAGATGTTTCCATTGGAGTGTTTCCACCCCAGTGGAGGGTAGGGGGGTGTGTGTGCTCTTACCATTTTCCTGAAGTGTCCATACAGATTAAGATCACTGTTGACTAGCATATACTTCATATTTCAAAATATGCACTGCTCTACTTACAGTTGTATTTGTCTCAAAATATAGATGCAAATTACTGAGTCATATATTCACATTGCATATTGGGTTTGCTCTCTTAAAAACTTCATTTAACAGCAATTAATATATTGAAAAGTGCAGTAACAAACTGACAAAGGAAGTGGCTATATCAGCTAAGACTTTTCTGAATGAGTAAGTGGAAACTTAATGAGAGATTTTACTGTAGAATTTGGATTGTTTGGCAGGATGAGTTTAACAAATTCCTTTACAAAGTTTTAAGCTATAGACCTATGCAGACATTTTATGATAAATAATTCTCCCCCATACACCATTGCAAAAAACTCTATAATCAAACAAGGTAATACCATCCAGCTACATCCAGATATATTATCTACAGCACCAGACAACTTAACTATCACATCTGCTAATTTTTGAATTATTAACTGTGAATGAAAATTTGACTGTTATATCCAATTATACCTTCTGTCAGCTGTAACTGATATAAATTTCCTTACAAACTGTCATTCTCTTATATTGCGAGTATTACCTCAGAGTTCACCAGCCAAGAGGAGGATTCCCTTTCCTCCACCCTCTGTTGAGATCTTCAGAGTTGTGCGCGTGTGATTTTGTGCGCATTTCATTTACTTTGCTCTTCAAAAATAATATATAGAAAACCTGTATGGATTTAAAGGGTTTTTGGTAGGATACAACAGGTTTATGGGGTTTTTGAGTGGGGTTTTTTTGTGTTTTTTTGTTTTTTTTTTTTAAATAAACTCTCTGGTCAGTAGAAATAAAGGCCTCTTCAAATCACTCTGAAGAACTTTCTACCACTCCACTCCCTGGCATCCTCCATCCCAGCCATAAATCCGAAAGGCAACAGTATCCTCAAGGCACAGAAGGTGGCCTGCTTGAAGACCCCAGCATTCATTCTAAATCCCAATAGCGATTACTGACCTCAAGAGCAACTGATGTCATGGCAATCAGATTAGTGGGAGAGATTTGGGACAGCATATGCCCTCCCCAGCAGCCAGCATCAGGCTAAGGCGTTCCCATCAATAGCATATCTGTACACAGATGCTGTCAGATTCTCCCAGAATGGCATAGAGAATGCCCAGGAGCTCCAGCCTTAAGACAGAATTCCTAAACATGAACTTTACAGTTCATTGAGAATACAGTGTGCAAATTTCCCCAATTCAGCAAAAAAATAAAACCTATCTTTTCAGAGCTCATCATAACCTCAGTGGGAATTTTATAGCAGGACACACACACAATACAAAAAGCAAACAAACAAAAAATCCAAAGCAAAACCCCCTTAGATTCCAGGTGTTTGTTTTAGCTCCCTCAGGAAATGAGCTGAAAGCCAGCACACCGCAATAACAACTTTGCTTCAGAAAGCAAGCCTAAGCAATACCAGGTCAAACTGCTACCATAAAAGATTTTCCAAACTGAACTCTGCTCAAGCACAAGTGGGCTCTGAATTGTACCTCAGGAAGATGGAAGGGATTCCCATCGTTCCCACGAAGCATGCCCAAAGAATCCTTTCTTGTTCAGCCAAACAATACATGCTGTAAAGATAGTTACGCTAAGAAGCTTCGGTGTCTAATTCTGCTATCACTCTCACACATTCAGCCACCCAGAGCATAAGTGAAGACATCTACCAGCATCCATCCCAGTAGCAAAAAATTAGTATGGAGGCTGAAGAATAGTCCTATGTTTCTATTTAATTCCTACGTATCTACTAAAGCTAAAGCTGTTGAATATTATACGCACATTCCCCCCACTAGATATATACGTGTGCGTGCTGTTGAATGTATGCATGGCTAGGAAGTCTGTTTCATTTAGCTACATGGGCATGTACATGTTTTCCAAAGCAGAGTAATGAAAATCTGTAGAGGACATTTCTCTTGATATTCCAATACACAAGATAAATGAGATAGTCACTCTTTGTTCTGAGTAGGATTCCTGCTAAAATATAAATTCAAACAACCCCAGATTGAGACAGACGCACAGTTAACATTTTATATTTTAAATTATATGTTCTCAGTTTAGAAGATGACAAGCAGGGGGGTGGGGGGTGGCAATCATACTTTGTACCTTGTTTGGGAACATTCACACACAAAACACTCTAGAAAACTCACAGTAATCCAGGTAACAGAATGCCTTCCTCAAAAATCTAGATTTCCTCAGTATTCATGTACGGGACAGGACAACTGGGGGTGGCGGGGGCAGTGTGTGGGTGTGTGTGTGCATGTTTGCTTGGGGCTTTTTTTGTTTTGTTTTTCTAAATTATTCTGTGTGAAAGATCCTCCCACTATTCTCACCCGCTTACATAATGAAAGAACAAATACATTTAGTTTCCAAGATAAATAAAGGAATAGAAAACAGACTGTGAGCCAACAGCTTGGCTAAGAAAAGGAACTCCTGGGTATAAGCTATAGTTTATTGAATTTGTAGTTATCTATTAACTTAAAACAGTTATGCAAAAGCAGAAATGGAATGCTCCCTACTGAAGATGACCTACCAGAAAAGGTTACATGTATGAGTACTTATATAACTAGCATTCTATTGTTGTTGGAAAATCTGATTGTTGTTCTCATTTTCCCTATTCTGCTTTGCAACAGAATAAATCGCAGACATTGCTATGATTGTGATTTTTTACATACAAGATTAAAAAAATCTTATAATACAATGTTTAACAGAAAAACCTTTTTTAACCCAGGAAACGGACTTACTTGGTGTGAGCGGAGAAATAGCAAGTGCTAGTACTATTACCACACATGATGGCACAGCTTGCACAGATTCTCTTTTACACCAAAAGGAAATACCACCAGGTCTGCAGTGTGAGTTCCCCCCAGCGACCTACTCTAGATCTCAAAATTATGATATTCTGGTTTGGACTTCCCATTGGAAACCACAATCATACCTACCCTTCTTCAAGGGGCAGTTCAATATGCATTGAGGACACATCTTAAACAAGTTGTAGAGCAGTGCAATAATCAGTTACGGCTATGGTAACTACGGTAGAGGAAATGTATATTCAAAGTACACGTGACAATGTTAAAAACCTACTGTTATTTTCCAGCTTTGAAATGTTTTGTGTCATGGATTCCTTAGGATCTGGTATCTGCCACCTACAAATTTTACAGACTAAATATATTTACCCTAACCCTCACAGCCATAAAACTTAAGGAATTATTTCTATAAAGAGTAGGCCTAATCTAATTTGGCTCATTTTTAGTCCTGCACGGGCAAGGCTGTACAGTCTGTTCTTCAGCAAGTTACTGTGTGGCTAGCCAGGTTTACTTTTTTTTTTTTTAATGTGTACAAAGGAAAAGGTATCATCTTTGAGAATTATCAGAGTGTAAAGCAAAAGTCCATCTGCTGCTTCACAAACTGGATATATCACTTTCTTTACCTATTTAAAGGAATTTTATCAAAGCTTTGATAAATTTGTTGTCTGCTTTTAAACACTAGCAAAGTTCCTTAAAGATACAGATACTCAATTGCACCATTTCCCATTTGGTGCACTTGATGATCCCATCTCATTATTCATGCTCTCTGCAAATTTCTTTTACTCAAAGAGTGGCTGTTTGCTGCTTTGAGCTAATCTCAACAGTAGGTCGAGTGCTAACTGGCTTTTTCTTAATTTGCAGCAGAAAATGAATTTTAAAAACTTGAAAAAAAAAAAAAAAGTGGGAGAGTTTTATTTTGCCCTTGTGTTCACTCTTCCTGACGCAAAACTACCTACCACTGATATCCTAAATGCTTATACGACAGCAAGTTAGCCTTTCAGTTAGTTCTAACCCCTAGTCCACAATTTACAGGTCACTGTGTTGGCACCTGGAAACTTCCCAAGTCTCAGGACTCCTCATCCACATGATGCAACAGACTGCAGAGTATTCAGTGAAGTGACGAACATGAGTAATCCGAACGTGTCTTTAGCACATAAGCAGTTGTAACAATCAGACTTCTTAACAGACTTTCTTCAAGAATTCCAGTCTCTGTTGTAAACCCAAATAACCAGACTGAAGGAGATAAGTCTTACCAGGGAGATAGGTGAGAGAAGGAGAAGCAGTATTTCTGGCAGATGACATTTCAGAAAGCAGTACCTGTACATAGTAGTGATTATACTGATACCACCCCACAAGCTACACATAGTACATAATCACTCTAAAATGAGAGTAACATAGTTGTTAGAGCTGACAATATTTGAAGAGCAAGAGTACTGGTC